CCAGGAAAACAAACAGATTCTTCTTAGAGAGGATTAAACCAAGCTACTCCTTGGAGGCAAGGATTCTGGGGCTTCGTCTGACATACTTTGGACATGTTGCCTTGGAGAGGGGCATCATGCTTGGGAGGGTGGAGGGACAGCGCAGGAGGGGAAGACCCTCTATGAGATGGATTGATTCAGTGACTGGGGTAATCGGGATGGGTGTGTCAGAGGTGGTGCGGTTGGCACAGGATAGAGCAGGGTTTAGGGCTGTTGTGCATAGGGTCGCTATGAGTCGGAAACAACTCGACGGCACATAACAACAACAAACAACATCTGGCACATAGTTTAGTGGTGGAAAAAAAATGGGCGCTATGATGACATGGCTTGTTCAGTTGTTTGTATTATTTTCTGGTGCCTACCCACATGTGGATCCACTGAGTTAGATGGGGAAGCATTTTAGGCTCTTGAAACACAGTGCCTGCCACACTGCTTTCTAAAAAGGGTCCCATCTGTTTTCCAAACCCTCAGCATATGAAGAGATGCACTGTTCTTCCTCAGCAATTAGAATTCCTGTCTCCCCCCCCCTTTTTTTAAGATTTTGGTAAAAGATACTACCTTATTTTTAAATGAAATTTTCATTATCTAATAATGTCAAGGATGAGTTTTTAATTTGTAAAGGAATGTTTACTGCCTCTTTGTGAATCCATTTATGATCTATTTCTGTTTAACGGTGGAGATTGCTTAATATTGTCTTATTGAATTACATGGGCTCTTTAATAAAGACATTCGTCTTTGTCATAGGGGCTGCAAATATTTTTGCCAATTTATTTTTATTTTGGCTGTAGCTGTTTGTGTTTTTTAACAAGTCCCATACACACGCACACACACATACACACATGGGGAGGGGAGAGAAAGAGTGTGTGTGTGTGTGTGTGTGTGAGAGAGAGAGAGAGAGAGAGAGAATGAGTTTAGGAGTCATGTACCCTTAAATTTGGGCTGTTGAATTTAATCCATTTTTACAATTAAGTGAGTGCAACCGCAATTGAATTCCTGTCTCCGGGGTATACTGCCATGACCTCCTCCTCACTCCCAACTTTGTATAATTTAGAACCTTGATGAGTTAATTTCTGGCTCATTGGCTCAAGTTAAATGGATCAAAAATTGTATAATGGAAAAACTAACGTCAAAGAAAACGTGGGCTGTGCAACCTTCACCAAGCAATTTAACTTCTCTGAGCCTCAGCTGCCTCATCTGAAACGCAAAAATGGCTCACAAGCTTATTTTCAGAAATGGAATAACATAGTCTACATGGAAAACCTCAAAAGACATTCCCTTCGAGATTGTGGGCTGCGTGAGGGCAAGCTGTCTTTGCTTTATTTTTCCTTCTGTTCCTACTAACTGGATCCACCCTGGTTTGAAAGAAGCAGCTTTGGATAAATTGCCTTTTTTCCCCCAACTCTATTAAAGATTATTGTAGAAGAAAAGCACTCTCACACCCATGATCTGCCTCCTGTTTGTGGCTGTCACAGTGAGCTCTCACCTCCCGAGCCAGGTTTGATGGTAGAACCTTGAGCCCAACGAGGTACTCTCCATGATATACATGGGCACCTAATGTAACAGACATAGATATCTTTATGGTGTAAAATAGAATGTTTACTTCACAGGTAAGTCTGAAATAGACAGACATCCCTCAGACCCAAAATACATGATTTCCTTGATTTACAGTGATAGGTGAATAAGGAAGGCTCTAATAATACTATTGCTTCTTGTTGCTTTGGTGTGTTTTTTTTCCTTCTCTCCTCAGATTATAATTTCAGATCTTCATGATCAAGTCTGCTAGACATTTGCCATCCTTTCTTCCAGGACTGATAGTTCAGAGGATATTTATTGTAAATACTTATTGGCAAGTGAGCACTGGTGGGCTAGTGGTAAGAAGCTGTGTTGTAATTCCAAAGGCACACAACAGAGTATGAATCCACCAGCTGCTCTGAGGGAGATCAATTGCCTCTGAAAACCCACTGGAGAGTCAGCTATGGGTCGGTTCTGACTCGATGGCATGCAACAAAAATTGGCAAGAGTGTGGTGCACTCATCATAAGGCCTCAGCCAAGCTCTCTGAAGAACTTCTGCTCCCACCTACTCTGGTCTGCCTTCAGACTTTTATTTTTGTGCAGGTGGCTTAGTGGGTACGGAGTTGTTCTGCAACCCAATGGCATGTGGTTTGGATCCACTAAGCTGCTCCAGGGCAGAAAACTGGGCAATCTTCTTTGGCTAGATTTATTGTTTTTGAAAACCCACCGGCAGGTCAGCCTTGAATTGGTTCTGACTGGAAGGCAATGAGTGAGTATGCTAAGATGTGACACTGAGGGTGTGAGTGACAAAATCGCTAAGTCTCCCTTCTCCTGTTGACGGACTAAATCTGAACCGCTTTCCCTGAAGAACAAAGGCAACCTTAGCCGGTCTTGTTCATTTTCATTCTGTGACTGTGGCGCGAGTGTGAAGTGGATCTGCACTGTGGGTCTGAGGGCAGCCTCAGACAGGAGTGCCTGACAAGGCAAGGGAGGCTATGCTGGCTGGATCTGAGGAGAGAAATCATGCCCTCTTCTTGGATGGAGGAAGTGGGCTGTGTCTCCTCTCTGGCTGATGAGATGGAGTTTTTCGAGTGCCTAAAGCAGGAAATGATCTTCTTGGCTCTGTCAGAGGTCAAGACCTTGAGTCCTGAGCTCAGGAGTGATAGCAAAGGGAACCTAACTCTGAAGTTTTCAGCCGTGCAAGGCAACCACAAGAGCTTAAAACGGAAGGAAGCCCCTGAGACTCAATGCCAACATGTCTTCCAGTCCCTTTCATCATCCTTTATGCTCGGATTCCTTTTAAACTTGTAGGTTCCCTCATTAAGGACAAGTCATGGCTTTTCAAATCAAGAAAATCGTCATTGAAATTTGAAAGGGAGCCCAGACAGGTGACAATAGGCACACACAAAGGGTCTGTCGTCACTGACTCAAGGACGTGAGCACATAAACACATTCCATGGCTTCCAAGTCTAGATCTATAAATATATTTATTATAATATAACAAGAACTTAACAATAAACATATAGTATTTACAATACCATTACAGAGAACCCTGTTTTATATCATTCACAGAAATAGCCATTTTTGCTCCAGTGTGATAGATAAGGAGAGAAACGGAATTTCAATGCCATCTGTGTTGAGTCCTGCTGACCACTAAGACCTCCTTTGGAGGCAGATGCTCACCAACGTTAACATTAGCCCTGCCCCAGGCAGTTAGAAATTTGTGCTCCAGTCCTTGGGTTCACACTTGCACCCTGTTTTTTTTTTGTTTTGTTTTGTTTTGTATTTTTTGACATAAATACTTTAAATGACATACAATGTATGTAGTTTTGTGCTTATTACTTTTTAAAAGAATAAATAATATTAAAAACTGCATAACGAAGCTCGGTATATCTTGTCCAAGTGGGAGCCACACTTTTGTAGTGCTGGAAGTTGCCGTTCGACGTCGGAACCGGGACTCTGTGTCATCGGATACGGAAAGATGGCAAGTGCATCCTGGTCTTTTCTCCCCGGAAAGAACCTGATCGTGAAATGAGGATGGCGAGTTGACTTCCCAGATAGAAAAGTGGTTCAATGCGTAGTTGGTACCAGCGTCAACTCAACAGCGCAGTGCAGCGTTCTTCCGGCCCTGGAATGGACGCCGATTACCATGTGAGGTCGGAGGGGCCAAGGATCCGCAGGAAGGCCTTTCTCCTGAGCCAAGGCGTGTGCCCCCCTCCCGGCTTCCCCCTTTTCAGGTGAATCTGCTGCAGGAAGCATGTTCTGCTCATGCCCATCAGGCCTTGAGGCCACAGCTCATCTAAGAAGGCTGTCCCCGTCCTGAGCGCTCTGGTGGCAGGTGCCTTAATATATAGCTATACATATCAAAAATAGTCTCCTGTGCTTTACAGACATCAGTTCTCCCGCCCTCGCTCCTCCCATTCCCTCCTGGCCTTGGTCCCTAGCTTTACCACTTGGGGGACCTGCACGGATGTCAGGAGCCAGAACGGGTTTCCTGTAGGAACAGAATCTTCCGTTGACAAAGCCTCCAAGAGGCACCACGCTTATGGGGCTGTCTGGGAATTGGTGTCTCTAAAAATAAAACGGGGGCGTTTGCCCCGCCAGGAGAGATCCTCTATTTTGCACATAGAAAAATCAGAGCAAATGCCCCACTCTGGCACTACTTAGCTTTGGGACTTTCCACATCATTATCCCTCTAGTGGCCCCCCTCCTCCTCCTCTCTGTACTTAAAAATAGCCTTTTGTGTATCAAGAAAATGCCTTGGAAATCTAAATAATTCATATTGAAGAAGAAAAAGCTAGCACAATCCCCGTGTCCTTCTCCAGCAAAAACATGGTAGAAAAACCTAGGAAGGACAGACGGCTCTGCCTGCGCTGCTCCAGCCACACCCGGGGCTCCTCTGGGGCCCTGGGACACCACACTGGCTGCCCCCGGCCAAGGGCTCTGGCCCCACAGTCTTGTCCATTGTTTTCCCTCAGCCACTGAAAGTGTGGATTGGTTAAAAAAAAAAAAAGGAATCAAAGTGGTAAGGACACTTTGATCTGATACCAAGAGAGCCTGATGCCTAGTATTGTCATAGGATAACTGATCTATGGTTGTTGAGGGATCAAGCTTGCTCTGCAGGAAGGAAAAAACAGCTTCTCTCTCCCAGTTGAAAAATATGTGAAACTCTATTGCACCGGGCAGAGTGAGCGCCTCCGTTCAGAGCAAGCGCCTGCCTCCACGGGATTGAGCGGGTCCCGGCGTGGCATGTCCTGCTGCTCCTTTCCCCCAAAAAGGCGAGGATGACGTTCTACATTCAATGTAGAAAATATTCGAAATGTTCGGCGCAGTGATTCCTTGCTGTGTTTTGCTGGCCTCTTCTTGGAGTTGCTGAAAACTTAGTGTGTGTGGCATTTGCCTCACCAGACTTGTCCACAACAGTCTTGTGGTGGGCTCTCTGCGCATGTCAGCCGCTCTGAATATACTTCTTTATCACCACGCAGCCGTGTCTGAACACAGGACAGGGCATGTGGGGTAACAGGGTCCATGTGTTGGTCGCAGGCTCATAGGCTTCCATGTTGCCCAGGGCGGGGCCCTCACTGCTAACAATGCCCCCGGTTGCATAAATCTTGCCATCCAGCACCACAGCACTGTCAGGGAGAGAACAGGACAGCACGTCACTTCCAATTTAGGCCTGGAGGGTGATCCTCTATGCGGGGTCCTGCTGCTGGCTGCCCTTATTGTTTTGCAAAAGGGACATGTAAGCTTAGCCCTCTGACCAGAGGTGGTATTCAAAATGAATGCTTTTCCTCCAGGGTCAGTCAGGACGGCATGCTCTCCTGCGCTCCAGGCTGTTGGTAATACCTACCCTCACGGGTCTTCGAGACCCGCTGGGAGGTAGCCAGCCTCTGGGAAGGGTTCTCGGCATGATTCAGTGGGTCTCTATTGAGTCTCCTTCTTGTACGGTACACCAGTGCTTGCCTACAGCTCGGGTCAGTCTGGGAACATGATTCCCAAGAAACAAATGATTGAAGGCAGGGTAATAAGAAGCTAAACAATAATTACACATTGGCCACTTGATAGGGAGTGTGGGCCCTTGTCATGGAAATCAGTTAGAGCTTCCTGCTGTTCCACTCCGTGACCACAAGGGGCAGGCCTGCTCTCTGCAGCGTGACCAGTCCCCTGTCCCTTTCCTGAGTGCTGGTCAAGTCTCGGTCCTGCTGCCCATGAGCTCTTCCAGAGGTTCGAGCTCAGCATTGTTCCTCTTTACACTGATACCTGCAGTTCATTTCAGCTGTCTGTGTTTCTAATGCCCTGGCTTCTCTCTCTCATTTCAGCTAAAGGCCATTTTCTTCTTGGTTATCCCTGACATCCAACAGATAGCTTTTAAAGGTTTCATCTATTGCTGAAATGTTGAGCCTCAAGCAAAACATATCAGTTTAGACTTTGTAAAGTCAGTTCTGACTCAGGACGACTGAGTTCAGTTCAGCACTGTTCACGACAGCCCGTAAAGGTGCCAGCCTTCTCTCATATGGCTCTCTGCCATCTGGGTCTCTCATGGCTCCCCTCTGTGCCATATCTGTTCCCTATTTCTCCTGCAAGACCCAGCGTGTGTCTCTTTCCTGGCATCAAGTCTTTCCTCACCCACTTTATCTTAGGTGAGGCATAGAAGTCCTCCCTTAACATCCTGTTATCTTGTCCAGTGGAGTCAGACTTTGCCCTGGATGCTATCCACATGGAGAGGATAGAAACTGAAATAAGGACAGAGGACTATAAAGTCAGCATGGGAATAGGAAATAGCAGTTATCTGGTGTTTTCCTGTTTTATAGACAGAAACACTTTGCCCAGTTGCTGTTAAGCGCTGTCAAGTCGGAACCAACTCATTGCTGAACCTCTTGAAGCAGTGAATAGCATGGGGGAATACTGTTCATCTTTCTCCCTCAGAGAAACTGGTGGATTTGAACCAGGTACCCTTGCATTGACAATGCAATTTCTTACCACTAAGGCACCAGAGAGGGTAAGTTTCTTGTCTAAGGTCATATGAGAAGTTAGTAAGCAGATTATCTCTTTACTAGGTATGCTGATGGGCACTCAATAAGTTCTTAGTGCTGCTGACAGACTGAAGGCTTCATCATTCTCTACAGCACAGGCATGCAATTTCTTGGATGGGATCTTCTGGGGCAGTGTGGAGAGTGGGTTTCCTGGACCCCTTTTTTTGTTCTGAGTGCCTCTCAGTGCAGGAAGAGACGAGGCTGGAAGAGCAGGGACTGATGCCTCCCTGCCTACACTGGTCACTTTCTCCTGGGCTATGGAGCCAGGCAGGCTGGGAATAAGGCAGGTGCTGGCCTTGCCCATCCTGCAGGGGCTGGTGTTGAGGTTTTGCTTAGTGGAGAATCTAGGACACTAGTGCCCTGTGCTACTCACTGTGTCCTGCTTCAGAAGGGCACCAGGATCGTGTGTGTGCTCAGAGCACTTTCTAGGAGGCTGCCTGGCCTGTGCAGGGCATCGCCCAGTTCTGGACTGGTGTTTCCTTCTGTGACAAGGCAGCTGCCCAAGAAGAGAGCTGATCTCACAGCCCTGCCCTCTCATGTCCATGGGAGAGTCTGGCTGTGGAGGCCTGCTGGCTTTAGGACACACCTGATTTTAGCTGGAGCCCAGGATGGATTTCTGAGCCCTGGGCTGCCCTCGGGTGCAGCTTGCTGGGCTCTGGTGCTGGTATCCACCACCAGTGGCTGAGAGGGAACTCAAGCTGGACTGCTGGGGGCTGGGAACTGAGGCAGGGCGCAATGCTTTGGTCCTCTGCTGGTGGTTAAGTCATGGGGATCAAATTCCTTCTGCTGTTTCTACCTTCCATACTCCTGATCCCTCCCCTTGCAGAGTCCTGCATCCCCCTCACCTGCAGAACTGGCGAGAATGATTCATGTTAGGGCCTGCCTTAATGTTTCCTTTGTCAGGGTCGTAGATGGTCGTAGCTCTGGCATAAGCCCCACCAAGGATAAAAACGAAGCCATTGAGGGTCACGGCAGGAGCATACTTGTTGTCTGTGAGGAGAGAACAGGAAGGTCAAGGCATCTCTTCCTTACCTTCCTAACAGGCCCTCCAGAGCAAAGGGGCTGGAATCGCTGATAGGCCTGGGGCCAAAAGGCACACTTAACACTTAACTTCTTCTCTCCAGGTCATGGGATCCAAAGTTGTACCTGGAGCCCAGGATTTGTTCCCAGGCCAGACCTGGGTCTACAGAACTGAGGGGCTTAGCTGGCATCTGTGCTCAGGAGATTGATACGGAATGAATTTGTCAGTAGGGGGCTGCTGGATTGGCCCTGGGCTGGGGTGCCAGCTGGTGCTCACCAATCATTGGGGACTCGATGAAGCTCCAAGTGTTGGTCTGCGGAACATAGGACTGGAGGACACCCGCCGCTCGGCCTGCCTCGTTCACCCCACCAAACACGTAGATCTTGCCGCCACACACGGTGGCCGCTGCAGAGTGCACTGCCTTGGGCAGAGGGGCCACCGCCTCCCACTGGTTGGTGATGGTGTCGTACCTGCAGAGAAGAAAGGGCCTTGGGTCAAGGACGGGTCTGGCGTAGGGTAGAGCAGGGCCGAGGGCAGCACATAGTTGGCAAGCACCTCCCTGGTTCCTGCCCGAGGCCACAGTGCTGGGGCCACTGGGATGAACCACTCAAGGTCCTTGTGGTGTGACCCAAACTAGCCTCCCAACCTTCCTCTTGTGCCCCAGTGGGGCTCTTTTCTGCCACTTGCGACTTCTATGCAAGTTCTTGCTTCCACGTTTGCTCTCACGGTGCTCCCCCTCTTCCGGGCCCCTTCAGCCCTCTCTCCCCAGCTCAGTCCTATCTTTTCATTCAGCAATCCTGCACTGGGCTTCTCCCATAAACCCAGGCTCTGTTCTGGAAATGGGGTTAATTAAACACCATTCCTGCCCTCAAGGAACTATGGCCTAGTGGGGAGACAGCCATCTGAAACACTAAGGACAATTAGCATGTGGGTTGACAGTGTATGATGCTGAGAAGCCTGAACTGCACAACGGTGGGAACAATTAGCCCGCTCCAGTGGGTCAAGTGAGGCTTCCTGGAGGAGCAGATGCCCGAGCTGGGTTGTGAAGCAGGAATAAGCCTCTAGCTAAGCCACCACTCATCTGTCTATTTGCCCAACTACGATGGCTTGTGAGTTGCTATGGTGATGCAAGGTATGCCACCAGCATTTTGACTCCTGGTGAACATGAGTTTCCATATTAGACTAGGAAGAAAGGCCTGGCAATCTACTTTCAAAAACTGGATCCTGTGGATCATAAGAGAATACAGTCTGATGTAGAATAAGGTCCAGTAGTTCTGGAAGATGAACGAGCCTTCTAGGTTGGAAGGCAATACAAAAAAAAACAAACAAACCAGTGGACTCAAGCATACCAGCAGTGGAGAGATGAATGGAAATGCTTTGCTCTGTCTCCCCTGGGTCACCCATGGATGGGCGCTGACTCAGTGACAGCCAGCAACACCAGGGAAATGGGGAATGGGCAGTAGACATAGAGAATTTCAAGTGAAAGCAGACATGGGCAAAGGCGGCATTAGTTCAGAATGGTCGGAGGCAGGGAGTATAACTCAGATTTTATCTAAGAGGCAGTGGGGAAACACTCAAAATTTTAAGCAGGAAAGTAACACAATCACATCTGTCATCTAGAGCCATCTCTGTGGGGGTGGTGTGGGGAATACGTCGGTGTGCGGGGTACGAGGATGGAAGGAGGGAGAGTGGTGAGGACTGTGTCAGGAGGGGCAGTGAAAGGAAAGGAGAACGAGCAGGATGCTGTCAGCAGCTGAGTGTTGGGGCTGGGGGGGCAGTTTCTGAGGATGAGTCAGGGCTTCTGCTTGTCTGCTGAAATAACGGGATTAGAAGCACAGGCTGGAAGATGTCCTGCATTGAAATGGTTCCCCCAAATGTGATGATGCACGTAATGATGTAACGTGGATGTGGACTTTAAGGAGTGGTCCCCCCAGACTCCAAGAACACTTGATCATGCTAATGAGAAACCTATACTTGGACCAGGAGGCAGTCGTCAGAACAGAGCAAGGAAACACTGCATGGTTCAAAATTTGGGAAGGGCGAGCACCAGGGACGTGTCCTGTCTCCATACCTTTTCAACCTATATGCAGAACAGATTATCTGGGAGGCTGGGCTCTATGAGGAGGAATGTGGGGTCAAGATTGGTGGAAAATCTATCAACAATCTGCGTTATACAGATGACACAACCCTGCTTGCGGAAAGTAAGGAGGACCTGAAGCACTTGCTGCAGAGGGTCAAGGACTGCAGCTTCCAATATGGATTGAGGCTCAATGTCAAGAAGACAAAGATTCTCACCATTGGGCCAATTGGCAGCATCAGGATGGATGGTGAAAAGATTGAAATTGTTCACAGCTTTAGTTTGCTTGGCTCCACAGTCAACAGTCTCGGCACCAGCAGCCAGGAAATTGGAAGACGTATTGCCATGGGAAAGTCTGCTGTCAGGGACCTCTCCAAAGTACTGAAGAGCAATGATGTCTCTTTGGAGACTAAGGTGCGTCTGATACAGGCCATGGTTTTTTCAATCACTTGTTATGCATCAGAGAGTTGGACAATGACTAAGGAGGATAGAAGGAGAATTGATGCCTTTGAGCTGTGGTGCTGGAGAAGAGTATTGAGAATACCACGGACTGCTAGGAAAACAAACAGATTTGTCATGGAAAGGGTTAAACCGGGTGGCTCCTTGGAGGCAAGGATTCTGAGGCTCTGCCTAACTTACTTGGGACATGTTGTGAGGAGAGACCGGTCCTTAGAGAGGGACATCATGCTTGGGAGGGTGGAGGGACAGCGCAGGAGGGGAAGGCCCTCTATGAGGTGGATTGATTCAGTGACTGGGATAATTGGGATGGGAGTGTCAGAGACAATGTGATTGGCACAGGACAGAGCGGAGTTTAGGGCTGTTGTACATAGGGTTGCTATGAGTTGCTGGTGAATTTGAACCACCCACCAGAAAGGCACGAGTTTCTTGTTTGTTTGTTTAGAGTGCAACGCAGAGCTCCTAGAGGGTTTGTCAGTGGTATGATAAGATTGTCATGGAGTTTTGAGTAACAACCAACTCCCCAGAGATTGCCTTAGAGTGTAGATTTGCTCATTTCCATGATGCAAAACTTCCCACCATTTTCTATGTTAAGTTTAAACTACCCAAGTGACATCACCAAAGAGATGCACAATAGGATACAATGATACAGAATTTCTACCATACAAAACAACGATATAAAGGCACACTGAGGCATCCTGGTGGTGCAGTATTTAAGCACTTGGCTGCTCTAGGAAAAGGCACTGGTTTGAACCCACCAGTCACTCTGCGAGAGGAAAGATCTGGTGTTCAGCTCCTGTAAAGATCACAGTGTTGAAAAACCTCATGAGGGCAGCTCTGCTCTATCCTATGGGGTGGCTAGGAGTTAGAATGGATTCAGTAGCATACACAACAGAGACACAACGGGTGTATACGTCCTAGGGAGAAGAGATTAGAGAAAAAGGTAAAAAGTTTAGCAAGTGATGAGTTCAGAGTGTATACTACTTTTGTTTTTAATATTTTCTTTAAGTGCATGTCATTTAATCTTTAATAAGTGCTTAATTGCCCATAGGATTCCTGAGAATGTAAGAGTGGGCGCTCCAAGCCAGGAGTCATCTCTAGCACACCCCTGACTCTTCAGTTTAGGTGGCTGTTGCTGACCCGAGCTGTTGATTCTGACTCTTAGCGACACTGAGAACAACAGGTCGAAACCCACATTGCATAGTCCTCACAATTTCCACTTGCTCAAGCCCACTGTGTTATTATGCTGACAAGAGGGAGCCCCCCTGAAAGATGAGGCGGCGGCTAAATGCAAGGCCACAGGAGGTGGGTACAAGTGGAAAGAACAATGAGAAGGAAAACCAAGTCCACACGGGCCAAGGAGAAGACAGTGGGCGTCATGGGAATTGTAACAGGAATCAAAGGCATCTTAAATGATGACTCTCATCATGTCTGGGAAGCAGGAGTTGGTTGTTCAGAGCACTGGGAGAGGCTGTGAGGAAAGGCATACAGGTGAACACATTCAGCTGTTTACCAAAAGGTTGAAGGTTGGCATCTATCCAGAGGCACCTTCAGCTACTTCTGAAAATTTAGGTGTTGATTACGATGAATCACTCTCTCCTCTGACACACACAGGGTCACTATGAGTCAGAATTAGCCCAATGGCAACTGATTTTACAGGGTCAGTGATGGAGAAGGGAGTAGAAGGTGAGAAATGTTTGCGCTTGAGAATGGGAGAAACTGTGGACAAGAAAACACAGAAAGAGGGCCATGGAGCAATGAGGTCAAATCTTCGAGACTGTGGGATTGTCTCCTTGTATGGGTTGGACAGGTCTACGCCATATGGTGCAGAACACAGATATACGTGCTGAACAGGTCAAAGAGGCCAAGCCAGAGGCCAGGACAAGCATGGAGACAGGAGTTCCGCGGAAACAGGAACAGTCAATGGGCAGGGGCAGCGTGGCCGTGCACTGGAGAGCTCTGTGCTCAGCAGACTCAATCTCAGCTCTCAGCCTGAGGACTGTTCCTCAATCCCTGCCAGCTGAGGCTGCTGGAAGGAGGAAGGGCTCAGGCTTCTCGGGGTTTTTGCTTGTCTGAGACTCCTCAGCTTCCTGCAGATACCGGGTTTTAGCTGGTGTTTCACCGCCTAGCCCCCCAGGCAAGGGAAGGCTCATGTAGACAGGGGCACTTGCTCTCTGTATCTCCCATCAGATGGCACACCTACCATCCACCAGGTGGCTGCTACTGTGTATGGTGTGGTGGGGTGTGTACATGAGGAGGGGTCTCTGCTGTGTGCTCACTGCAGCACCAGGGTGGTTTTCCCCTCCAGCACATCCCCCCCCCAACAGTCAGTTAGACAATTGACTATTAGCTGAAAGTTTGGCAATTTGAACCTACGAGCCCAAGGTTCAAATCCACCAGCTGCTCTGTTGGGCAATCTCTTTCTGTGCCTCTGAAAACCCGCTTGAGAGTCAGCTATGGGTCCCTCTGACTAGACAGTACACGCCACACACCCTCAGAAGACTGGCCTGGTGGTCACTTCTGAAAGGTCTGAGCCTCGAGAACCCTCTGGAAAAGCCAGCCGCACAGGAGGTCTCCATAAGGCCGAATCTAGGGTGCCGCCACCACCACCACCACCACCACCAAGGGGCGTCTCTGCCCCTCGTACCCCCTTTGGACTGGCTGCAGCTCAGAGCCCTGCAGGAAGGTCTCAGCTGGCTGGACATCCTGTGGGCTGAGCGTGCAGCCAGGGGACGGCTGTCACCTGTAACCCGTGCTCCTGAAGACTCAGGGTTTGGGAAAAGGCAGAGTTACCCAAAAGTGCAGCAGGACCCGAGTCAGTTAAGAAGCAGAGAAATGGTATGTGGCTAATACGTGGTGGGGCGAGCGTATTTTCGGACAGTGTCAGAAGTTCAGAAGTCTTTTTTTTAAGCCACTGTGGCAGAGCCCCAAAGAGCCGCTGCAGAAGGAGCTGAGAGACAGCGCAAGATTATTGGCTGTTAGTCCTTAGTCTTTCGGTATAATGGCACATTCCGCCAAACACGAATTTCCTGAGAGCTTGTTATTCCAGGTGGCTGATTGCCAAACCACAAACCCTCCCGTCAGCTCAATCTGTCAGCTTCCTGCTTGAGAAGGATATGCTAATGACATGCAAATGACCCCGCAGAGTGAGCGCGGCTATCATTTATCCAGTACCCACGGCTCCCGCGGTATATTGCTATAAAATATTAGACCTAGTTATTTATATAATGATATAATACAGGTTTGTCTATGACACTGTTGTTTTCATCTCTAATTATATAATCCTGCTCTATTCCTGTAATACAGTAATGTAATATAATTAGAATGTACCGTATATCTCATTCATTATCAATATAATAGCAATTTGTACCATTACTGCCTCCCGAGGAATAAAGCACCCTTGTGTCTGTCCCCATTATCCTGACCTTCCTGTTATCCTAAGTTTGAATCATTGCAACCATTGTGCGTAGAAATGGACTTTCCCAAAGGGGGTCTGGATATGCTACCTGGGAGGCAGTGCTCGAGCTGAAACCTTTCCTCTCTGCACCCCATCTGTGTGCACACCTACTCTGAGTCTTCAAGTCTGGGCCCTGGGCCCCATGATGCCAGGCAGATGTTCCTTGTGGACTGAGGAAGGGCTCAGGCCACTTCAAGACACCCTGCTGTCCAAGCAGCTCATCTACGGGGGTCTTCTAGGGGGGCTGTGTTCACTCAAAGGCCTAACTACGCCCCACTCTGGAGTAGTCGGTGCAGACAGTTTCACCGCTCAGGGGCCAGGGAGGAGAGGAGAGGAGCTGTCTCCACCTCTTAGCTGGAGCATTCTGATCCTTGAACAAATCCCCTTATTTATCAACAAGTATGTGTTTGCAAATGAATAATCAGCGTCTTAGGAGATTAAAAATAGCTGACAAAAGCAAGACAGGATGACAGATCTAGCTCAGTTTACTCCTACATAGAAAATGTCTCCGTATTCATGTATTTATTATTGGATGACAAATGGTTGGGAGCGGGTGCCTGCAGACGGCTTTGGGGCCCTGCTGGTCGTGTGGTGGGTCACGGCACAGGCTGGGAGCCTCAGGGCTGGGCCGGGCTCCCTGGCAGTATTAATATCCTCATCATCACACGGGGACTCCCCATTATCTTCAAATCAATATGACAATTAAATGTCACCGAGCCATCTCTGGCTCCACTTGGGGGAGTTAAAAGCCCGCAAAGAACATTTAGATCCTGTCTCGCTCTGAAACCATCTTCGCTGTAACATTTGTCAAGTGTCCAATTAGCCACTAAGGGAGAAAAAAAAATTATAAATTGAGGGGTAGGGGGGGCTTTGCCGGCAAAAAGATGTCACACAGGAGGATGTGCTTTGCTAGTGGAAGCTCAAGAGATGGGCTGGAGTGGCAGGACATGGAAGAAGGTCTAGTGACGTTAGCTGTGACCTATAGATGTAAGCTTGGCCCAGGTCAGTCTATGGGTCACTCCCTGGGATGCTGAAGCCCAAATCAAACCTGCTGCTGTTAGGTCAAATCCCACTCACGGGCCCCCATGTGTTACAGAGGAATGACTGGCAACCTTAGGCCAGCACACTGCACACTGCACCAACACACTGCACCCCAGAACCCTGGGACATTACTTTCTCCCAGGACTGTGCTGAAGCCTCTGTTCTCCCCAGAACAGTCCCCTGGCTCAAAGGAAGAAAATTTAGGACTACTACCCAGAGAAGAATCCCCTGATGCCCATGCCCACCAAGCCTGACCCCTCCACCGTATGAGGAAGCCGCCTGAGACTTCCAGCAGAGGGCAGGCTTACATACACGCTTCTCGGGCCCGTCGGCTTAGATTCCCTTCTGGGTGATTCTAGGCTTATCCAGTCCTAGCCGCCCCTGTGAACTGCTCAGTTTATCAGTTAGTGCACAGCGGCCTTCCTCTTCATTATACACACATCCTGCAGGAGTGGAGCTCTTAGGGGGTCATCTGCTTCCTGGGAAAAGGATGGTCCCCCCACTGGCCTGGTTTCATTTTAGCTACTGGTTGCAGCTTTCCCCTACCACTCAGCAAGTCTCTGGGAGGGTACCCGTGCTCTCAGTCTAACGACCAGTCCAGGTGAGCACATCCTGTGCTTTTACGTGATTGGATCTTGTGCCATCAGATTGTCTGACATGAAATGAGACGTTAACGTAGGAGTGACCCATCTCGGTCACTGTGGAGGCCAATGCAGTGTCTGCCCTACCTGCTTTCATCCTGCCATTCCACTACTATAACTCACTGCTGCTGAGTTGGATCTGACTCACGGCTGACCCTCCAGCTGGGTTTTGGTGGCTATATATCACATGGGAGGAGATTATTCGTCATTCTTCCCCTCTGGGCAGCTGGTGGATTAGAACTGAGTGCCTCTGGGTTGGCACCGCAACTCACAGTCCTCACCTTTTATTTTGGTTGAAGGCCCTTGTGAATGATCCAGTCCCCAGCATCCCCACTGAGTAGGTGTTGGGGCGCAGGAGGGATGTGATCTTAGCTTTGAATGAGTGTCAGACCGTGTTCCGTTGTCCCATTACCTCTCCACGTGGTCCACATTGCCTGCCACTCCAAGTCCCCCAAGGGTATAAATCTTCCCATCGTAGACAAGGCTGTTGTGGCGACAGCGGGGGACTGTCATCCTGGAGACGAGGTTCCAGTTATCGAGCAGGGACATATAGCACCAGACATCAGCCAGCGTCACCCCTGATTCCATCCCACCTGTAGGCAGCATGGGTGACAAAGGGCAGGCAGGGAGTGAGGGATGGCCGAGCCAGGCAGGCCCAGCCCCAGGGTCAGAAGGAGAAACTTTCACCTGCAAAGCAGACACTTTTAGGTTGACCTTGGCTTTTCTCAGCCCTGACATGTGGGGTAGCTCATGCCCAAGTCCCAACCCCTTCTTCTGAGGGGCCTCACCTGAGAGGTAGATGTTGTCCCCGGCACTCACTACACTGAAGAATTCGCGGTCATAGAAAGGCAGCGAGGCCAGGGGGTACCACTTGTTGTTCTGCGGGTTCCAGCAGGTGACAGCCACCAGCGAGCGCTGGGTCATCCCCACCATCTGACGGCCCCCAACCAGAACGATGACCTCGGCCACACCTGCAGGGACATGGATGGGCACCCTTGGGACAGACTGCCGCACTGTGAGTCTCTGTGCCTGGCCCCTCTCTGGGAGACCACCCAGAGTCAGGCTGACCCCACCGCACCGGCGGCGTTTGAGGCAGGAGGTGTCCCAGTGTGGTACCTGCCGAGAGGCGGGGCCGGGTCCTGGGCGTCTGCATCTCCTGGCGCGCATGGGGCAGCATGTGGTAGCGCTTGGCCTCGTTGACCAGGTCCCGACACGCTTCTGATGACTTGATGAGCTCCTCGTTGTCAACCACATTGAGCAGGTAGCTGGGGTGGATGAAGGGGAGGCGGACAACTGCCAGGAGCTCAGCTGCATACTGAAGGGTAAAGGAGACAGGGAATCAATCATCTTACAGCCTAAAGAACGAACGGCCTCTCTGAGTTGTAGTCAATCAGACGGGGTGTGAGAGTGCACAGGATGGCTGATTCCAGGCTGTACTGGGTTTGGGAGTGTAGGCACCTTGCTCATCCCAGTCAAGGATGGGTGTTCAGAGCAGGTGAAGGGGGGGAGAGGAGGGAGGAGCGCGGCGTGCTACCGCTGACCCTGGGCGGGTCATCCACTCATTTCAGTCATCCCTCAGCACCTCATCCCTTCACCTTGGAAGACCAGGGGCCTCTGCTTCACAGTGCTTCGTGGGGGACTGGGCTGAGAGGACTGATGCCTGCATAGATGTGTGTGCTCAGAACACATGGAGTTCCTCTGAAGCTTTCCACAGAGAATCTCAGGAACGATGGGAGGATCCAGGAGAACTTAAAGGAGATGATGACTGTCCACCAGGCAAGTCATAACTGTGACAGCTGTATCTCTCCAAAATCCCATAACTTTAAACTCACCCGTGGACCCCATCATGCTCACTGAAGTCTTTTCATTGTCTAACTTGAACCTCCCCTCCTGTCCAGTAAATGACTCATCACTCTACTTTTTACTCATTTTGCCATGCATTACACTCATTATCAGGGTACAAAGATGAGTAAATCTGACCTCAAAGGATGCAAACTTCAGTGCAGTGTCATTACCTACATATGAGGTGACAGTGGGGCACACTAGAGGATTCAAGGGGATATAGTGGGTGCAGAGACAGCGATGATGTCTGAGTGGGGTGTTGAAGAGTTGGTGTTAGCTGCCACTGGGCCAGCTCCCAACATGGTGGCCCCATGAACAATGAGATTGGCTTTCTTTGGCTGATTTTTCAGAAGTAGATCACCAGGCCTTTCTTCCTGGGTTGTCTCAGTCTAGAAACTGCTGAAACCTCTTCAGAATATCAGCAATGCAAAAGCTTTCACTGAAAGACAAGTGATGGCTGCACCTGAGGCACACTGGCTGGGAACTGAACTTGGTTTTCCTGTGTGGAAGGTGAGAAAACTGATACTTAAACACCAAGCTCGTGCTGGGAGTTTCCCATCACCCACTGCCATCCAGTCAATTCTGACTGACAGTGACCCTGTGGGACAGACTAGAACGGCCCCTTAGAGTTTCTGAGGCTGTCAATGATATGGAAGCACATCTTTCTCCTACAGAAGAAAGGGCCTTTGAACTATTGACCTTTGGGTGAGCCAGGCCTCCTCGCTGGGATCATTGGTAGACTTGAATGAAATGGGTTTTCTTGCTGCATACCAAATATTTTTTGCTGGGGCAGGGAGAAATGAGGCTGGAGAGGTTAGCAGAGGCAGTTCTCACATGCCATGCTTGCTAAGGATTTTGCAGTTTATCCTGTGGAGCTGATGAGGGAACTAATAAGGAGTTTTAAACAGAGAAATTACATGATCAAATTTGTTCTTTAGAATGAACACTCAGGCTGTAGAGTGGAAAATGGATTAGAAGGGAGCAAGATGGAAGGCAGGGGAATCACTTAGAAGAATGCAACAATTTTGCTAAGATTAGGGAGGAAAGAATGAGGAGAGAGAAGCAGAACCATTTAAGAGGGATTAAAAATGGAGAAATGACACACTTGGGGGCCAAATGGGCATGCAAAGTGTGGGAACATTCTAGATTCCTGTCAGGGTAAAGGGGAGAACCGAAATAAAGAACACAGGGAAAGGAGTAGGCTTGGGGCTTGATGAATTAAGAGGGGTGGAGGGACTTCTTGTTGGAAATGTGCAGTAGGTGATTGAAGATACAGGGAGAGAACGCAGGTGAGTAATCTGGGCAAGGACTTAGATTTGAGCGTTTTGGTGGACTGCGGCAGTGACTGTTATTAGTTGCTCAAGCAAAGTCCTTCCTCTGAACATACATCTGCCCTTGACACCTAATTGGTCTCATGGACTCAGTGCCTGGGCCAGGGTGCAGTGCTTGCTACAGGTCCTAGTACCCGACTCATCCTTTTCTTGTCCCTCTTCCTGCTCCCATCTGTCCTTGCCTCACCTGTCCTTCATAGCCTCAGCCCATGCTCCACTTTCCCTGCTTGGGTTCTTGCTTCTGGACCATTGTTTCCATTCATAGTCTGAGCTTTCTAAGAACTCTCATGCAATGGCACCAGTTCCTGGGGTTCTGCACAGGGCAGAACAAAGGCACTTCTCTCCTGAGCGAGGCCTCCAGCACTCATGGCCCCTCTGCCTCCAGGCCTCTCCAGAGGACTTTTCTCCTCGGTTCTCTGGCTTGGAGTCTCCATCTCTTTCCCTGAGGGATTCACCCTCGCTCTGCCATGTTTGTAGCAGTTTTCCATCTCCCACACGATTTCCACTTGGCGTCTCATTTTTCAGTAACCAGGGGATGGCGGGTCACCTCCTGCTGGGGTGAGCTCCAAGAGCCCCAGCTCAGGCTCACAGCCCTGGGACTGCAGGCTCCTGGGACTGCCCATCCAGGCCCTGCGGCTTCTTGGTTAGCGTCTTGGGCTCTCTTTCTAGGAAAAATCTAGCCTTCCAAAATCCTTTTGCATCTCCTTTGGAGTTTCTCATCTTTAATCCCTCCTGCCTCCTATCTGCAGCCCACACAAGAGCTGTTCCCACCTCCAGGGGCCTCCAAGATGCTGCCATTTCCTTCTCCCGGGCCCCACTGACTCCCCCTGCTGGTCAGATCAGGCAGCTCGGCCTCCTTTCCCTGATTTCATTCAACCCCATCACTGCTGCTGTATCCCAAACAGGGCTGGAGAGAGGACAGGTGCGGAGGCAGGCCTTTACCTGTGCCCGGGATGCAGGGTCCTTCTTGATCCACTTGATGACGGTCTCGTACACCAACTCCTCGGCCTTGGTGTTGAGGCTGTCGTTGGAGACGTAGGCGATGAAGTCATCCTTGGAGATGCTGAGGATCTCCTCCTGGGCTGCCACCTCGGGGAAGATCTGCAGCGCGAAGGCCTTGGCCATATGGTACAGCTCACTGCACTGCATGGCCTCGGCCATGGCCAGCACCCCCAGGCAGTTGCTGGCTGTCAGCTGCTTCTCTGCGGGTGAGAGTGAAGGACCAGTGACCAAAGGGCTGTGGAAGAGGACACCCCCTGTTTCCTTTGCCTATCTTCTACTCTAGAGGCCTCTATGGCCCCGTGCCTGTGTGAGCTCACCTCCAGCACCCCCACTCCCCATGCATTTCAATATCCTGGAGCCTAAGGGCCATTTCCTTACTTTTTCTCTATTCCATCCTATGCTGACTTTCGTTGCACCCTCAGCTCTTACAAGTATCAGAGAAGGATAGAGATGTCAGTGCAGGGCTTCCTCATTGCCTCATTCATTGTCTGTGGTGTAGGGAAGGCCCAGGTCCTCATAGCCTGGAGTTGGGGGCAGGAGGACCCCCCTAAGGCAGACAATGCCTTCTAGAATTGTGCTAAGTATGACTGAGGTCCCAGACTCTTTCTTTAGAATTATGCACCTCCCACCTGCCGACCCCCTGTCTTCTGTGTCTCATCCTCCCCTGAACTGAGCCTCTGGAGTCTGTCACTTGCACTTTCTTGAGATTCACTTAATAGCTTTTATTTTTAATGATGGAGAGGGTGAAACCAGGCTGCTCCTTGGAGACACACAAGGATTATGAAGCTCTGTCTCACATACTTTGGGCACATGGCCAGGAGAGACCAGTCCCTGGAGAGGGACATCATGCTTGGAAGGGTGGAGGGGCAACAAAGGAAAGGAAGACCCTGGATGAGATGGACTGACACAGTAACTGGGGTAATGGGGGTGGATTTGTTGGAGACAGTGAGACTGGCTCAGGATAGGGAAGGGTTCAGAGTTATTGTGCATAAGGTCGCTATGAGTCGCAGGTGACTTGACAGCACACAACGACGACGATGACAACAACAACAACAACAACAACAAAACGACAGTGTTCCAGGAAGCCCATGACTTTTGTAACTCTGAGGCTGTGGTTTCTGGCTTTTGTAGATTGCTGAACACCCCTGTGCACAGGTCAGTCTACTTGTCTCTGCTTAAATCTGCTCAGCTTCCCAAAGGCAGCACCTCCTTTTTTCCTCTCTGCTCCTCATACCCCATGTCACAAGTTCTTTGTGACTCTGGTCTTTGCTCTTTCCACTCAAGTGGGTAGCACTGCACTATAAAGTGGGGGAGATCTTGGAGTCTGTGACTTGCTGGAAGCCCCCAACCCTCATATCCCCATTCTGAGCCAGCATGATTCGGATGTCTATACCCAGCAGGCACCCGATGTGGACCAAGTATTAAACAAATTAAAGAAAATAAGATGCCTGTAGATTTTGAAGCTCATCTCACATGCTTTGGGCACGTGGCTAGGAAGGACAAGTCCCTGGAAAAATGACATCATGCTTGGAAGGTGAGGGGCAGTGTAAGAAAGGAAGACCCAGGAGGAGATGGAATCGTACAGTGACTGGGGCAATAGGGGTTGGTGTGTTGGAGTCAGTGAGACAGGCTTAGGACAGGGCAGGCTTCAGAGCTGTAGTACATAGGGTCACTGAGTCACAGGTGACTTGATGGTACATAGCAACAACAAGATGCTTGTGGCCAATATGCTCAAAGTTAAGAGAATTGGGCTGGAAGTTCAGTGTTTCTCCACATTTGAACCATTTGCACGACTCTCATTATTCTATGTTTCCACAAAGCTGGGCCAGGAACTAAGCCATCCCTCCCTACTTGAACAAACATGAGGTAGAGCTGCAAATTATCACCAAGCAAATGCCCTTGCAGGTAATGGTCAGAATGATCACCTTACTTCTGTGAGATACAGCAACACCGACCTCCTTTCCTACCCTTTGTTTCTTGACACTGACCTCATCTTCTACCCTTTGTTTTGTATCAAGTACATAGCTGATCCTCTAGGAAATTTTCAGAAGCAGTTAATCGCCCATCCTTCTCCAGGCCAGCAGCAGGTGGATTCGAGCCTCATGCCTTCGGAATTGCAGTGCAGCTTCTTACCACTACACCAGGAGAGCTCCCTTGACTACTCCTTCCTATTTTACAAATTTTCGGCCCGCCTCACCCCGAGCCCTGAATGTGCTCTCAGCTCACCAAGGAAGGACACACAGACTTTGCAGAAGGTGTGGAACTGGAACTTGCTGGCCGCCTCCAGCAGGGTTTTGGCGTTGGCCGAGTCGATGACCAGGGATCCTGTGTACACGAACTCCAGCAGCAGCTCCAGGACGTCCGCCTGCAGGTTGGACAGGACCAGCTCCAGCTTCTCCCGGCCGCCCTGGCCGCCGTCGCGCACGGACCTAGGCACAGAGACCAGGGTGTTCTTACCTGCGGGTTCCCGCGGCTGCGGCGCCGCCTCCTCACAGGGCTAGGTGTCCCTGCACACCTCAGTCACGCCCTTCGTTTAGGACTCAAAGGACACGGCAATGGACACACCTGAACCTAATGACCTTACACGGGATCTGAAAGAGAAGACTCTGACCAGAGATGCCCCAGAGAACAGAAAACCCTGCTTAATTATCACTACTTGGCATGTCCATGCAAAAAAAGATGCAAATAAAAAAGCATGAGCTGTGGATGGGGACGAGGACCAGGACTGGCCTCAAAGGGAAACAATACGGTTGCGCCCCACTGCTTGCATTGGCCTTTTCACTCAACAAGGCGAACAAGCCTGGGGCCCAGGTCCCGGGCCCTCAAGGGGGAGATTCTCCCTGGCAACTGAGGCCGGCAAGGCTCCCAATTGGCTGTGATCTCAGCCAATCCGGAGACTTCCTTGGGTCGCCGTACCCTGTCCCAGAACCCCGCAACAACCCCACCTTTTTCCAAAACATATTGTTTCCTTTTAGGCATGGAAGGGAAGCCCTTCATGACATTGCTTTGAAATTGAGGACGAGACGAGATAGACGGACAGAATGGTTAGAGCTGGGGAGGAGGGGAAGGGGAACAACCAAGGACTTCCGCCACAGACAGCCAGCAGCCATGACCTGGGACCTGGCCCGGGGCGGGGCCCTCCTGCCACATGGAACACGGGGTCAGAGGTCAGAGTGGCCTGCGTGTAGAGTGTGCATCGGGCTTGTGAACTGGGGGGAGCAGGGGAGGGACACAAATATATAAGTATGCTTATATCTGGTGTCTAAAAATACAAAACCATTGCAAAGACTCCTAAGGCCTGGGCAGCCGTGCCCTAAAGCTGGACCTGGAAGGAAACAGATAAAATGAAGCAAAAAAATAACACCAATATAGAAGTGACGCCAGGAGGAAAAATACCCAGAGCGTTAAGAGTCAGGAAGCAGGTTTCTCAGAAGTGATGAATGTGGCCGCCCCATCTCAGTCGCTCTGACCAGTCCTGAGACCCGCCAGGACCCTGGGTCTGCCCAGAGCTGGGGTCAGCCACATGGCTGCTCCACCCAGGGGCTTCCAGGCTCTGCTGGCTGGTCCCTTGGGTGCACCTGTGGCTGGTAACGGAGTATGGAGGTGTCCAACAAGCGAGGCTGGCTAACCACAGAGAGAGGCAGACTCCTGTCAAACGGGTGGGGTGGGGTGTTGGTGATGAAAACAGGGCAGAGAGCCAGGGGCTGGGGCCCCTGCTCTGCCACTGACTGGCTTCACAAGGCCTCAGCCCCCGCGTTCTGTGGAACAAGACAGTTGACCTAGATGAAGTCTAAAGTGCCTTTGGAGATTGTGTGTGACAGAGGCTGATAAATAGTTCCCTTTTCTACCTGATGGCATCTGAAATGTCACCAATAGCACAACAGTCTCTCAGGTTAAGCACTGGCCACTCTCAGACCTTTAAAATGCCTATGTTACTGGGTCAAAAACTGGCGAAAGAAGCTGTGATCCTGCTGTCTAAGCAACTGCCCAGAGTCCCCTGGGGTGCCATGCCAGGCTCTCCCCACAGCATGCCTCACATGGCCAGCAGCACTAAAGGGGGCCTGGCAAGGTGGTGAAGGCCCAGAAGGCATTGAAGGAAAGGTGTGGCTAAGCTGAGCAGAGGTCTGAGCAGCGCCCTCCTCCACAGTACAAACCTTGTCGTGGCTTCTTAAGTGATTTATGCATCTACCATTGGATGCCATTGGGATGGACCACCCAAGCTTCTGCCCTTGGGGGTTTTGGTGGGTATAAAAGTAGTTCATTGTATGATCACTTACAATCACAAAAGTTCTAAACAGACCTAAGAGGCCATCTGGTCAACCCCAGGCCTCTGATCTCTTACACAGAGTCTTCTCGCTTTGATTTTGCTGTCCTTGCCTTCTTCCCTCCTACATGCTATCCCTATCTTTTCTTCTTTATCTCCTTCATCCTCTCTGGAGGTCATACTGAGGTGACCAGCTGGGGCAGAGTTGACAAGACCAACGTAGAGCTGCTCACCTTCCCCCCTAAGCAGTCACTGCTTCTCCATGCTGGCCCGCCCACCACTACCTGCGAGTCCTCAGGAAGGGTAGCTCAAACCTGTGAAGAGCTGAGGTGAGGCTTCAGGACAGACAGACAGACACTCACACAACCCCTGGCTTTCCCTGAGAATTGTGGAATCCCCGTGGGGAGGGGTGTTGGCCAGGCACCGGCCTATGGAGCCTAGTGGATGAGGTGGCTAAATCAGCATCATAGCACCTGTAAAGAGTAGCCCATTTGCCCAGAATTTAAACAAGGTCACGAGGGGCAAGGTGGTGTCTGTGTGGCTGAGCAGCTCAGGGATTCTTTGGGGAAGCACAAGTGATGTGACCCAGTGCTTTCTGAGAGGGGATCCCTGGGCCAAGGGTCTGCTGGAGGCCTCTCGGATTGGATGCTAGATCCTGTGCGCTGTGCCCCTGTCCCAGTGCCCACACAGATACTTGGGAAAGTGATAGAGACTGTCAGGCAGCTGAGTTGAAGATGAGGAGAGAAGTCAAGGCCCAAGGAGATCTGATATGTGCTCATGAGCCCATATTCATGTTTACTGGTCACACAGGTATGGTGGTCTAAAGAGCTGGGAGTGCTCCACTCCCTAGACCTCCTCTCTTTGAGCAAGACTCCTCTGGAAGCATCCTGATGGCAGCCACTGTCACTAGTAGGGACTACTAGTCTGTTCCACAGAAGACTCATCCCTGTTTTAAGATGGTTCTTAGAGTCTATCCTCCCATTCTACTTGGTCCTAGTGCGATTTGAGGGAGCTGCTGGGAACAGCCTTGGACAGAGGTGACTTGACATGCACATCTGATACTTGAAGGGGTAGCGGCATGGGGGCTGGTGCAGCCCTCAGCCAGGTCAGTGCTTCCCACAGTCTCTTGGGAGAGCCCACTGCCTGGGACACATCCCATACTGTATAGGTCTGGACATGTAGGTAGGCTGGAAAGGCAGAGTTCCCAACATTTGGATGTCTGAAACCCTACAGCCATTGGGGGGGGGGGAGATAATTGTCCCTCTCTAGACTCAGTACATGGTGCAAGCTGGAACTGGGTATTGTATGGGACCTTAGAATAATGGAAGTCAGGTGAGTTGGCTTGACTACAAGCCAAAAAGTTGGAGTTTCAGACCCATCCAGAGACAGCTCCAAAGCAAGGCCTGTGGATATACTTCCAAAATATTTCAGCCTTGACATTCCTACGGAGTGTAGTTCTTTTCTGCCCACACAGTCACTATGAGTTCCAGCTGACTTGATGACACCTGGCTTCGTTTGCTTTTTGGCAGGCTGTGGTGGCCTGGGGCAGGTGAGGCATGCAGCTGAGATCCGCTCTGTTTGGGAGTGATGGCCTTGCCTTCCTGATGTGATTTCCACCCTGAACCATGCAGAGAAGGTTGGGCACAAACACAGGCACCCAGGAGCGGCACAGCATCGTGGGGACTTGTGTGGCCCAAGCTGGCTCTAGCACACCCATCCTGACTTGAAGATGGGCCTTCCTCACATAATTCACAAATCCCAGAGATGCGAGTTCACTCCTCTTGCTATCAGTTCTTGTAGGCCATCTTTTGATTGTCCCTGAGGTGCTGTCATCTATAAATGTCTATTTCCACAGAGAAGATGAAAGGTGTCTGCCTTGATTACTCAAGTGTATTGGGTTCCTTTACATTCAGGATCTGTCACTCAGTTGACTAAGTCCTTTAAGTCAATGGAGTCTCCAGGTGGCACGTGCTTGAATTCATTCAGAGGGATGTTGGAAGAAAAGCCCAGCGGTCTACTTCGGAAAACCCAGCCACTGAAAACCCTATGAAGCACACAGCTCTACTCTAACACACAGTCACCAATATTTACTGCAGCTTCCTCCCTCCGTGCTGGAAAGGGAGTGAAAAGCCCAGAGCCTATATATGGGGTTTTGAAAAATTAACTTAGAAAAATTAGCTAATTTGTCCATCTGTTTTCATTCAGTATGAAAACAGGATATAATTCAGAAGTGTCATAGGCGCCAACCGGCTGTGGGAGATGAGTCTCAGCTGTTGCGTCCAATGCCAGCTTCAGGTGTCTGCCCCATTTAGTTTGCCGAGGGGCATGGCTTTCCTCCTTGGCTGGGCACTTTCTCCCCCACTTGGGCCGGGGAGTGTGTCTGGAAGTGCTGGCAAGGAGGGCAGTACGTCTGCTATCTCTGTAGAGCAGGGAGGTCCTCTGTCCTCTGCAGGAGCCTGCAGCTGGCCCAGTCACGGAGCTCAAGTGATCGCTGTCATTACAGTACACGTCCCCCATGGCTGCGGAGGGGGCCTCTCCTCCATGGGCCAAACGAGAACATGCAGGTCAGATCTAGATCCTGCTCATGGGTGCTGAGAACCAACTGTGGGTTTGGGAGGCTACTGTATACTCTTTATTTGGTCTAATAAAAAAACCAAACCATTTGCTGTGGAGTCAATTCTGACTCCTGGTAACCCCATGTGTAGCAGAGCTGAATGGTTCCATAAGGTTTTCAGCAGCTGCTGTTTTTGAGAAATAGTTCAGGTCTTTTATCTTTCTTTCTTTCTTTTTTTTTTTTTAGGCACCTCTGAGTGGACAAGGACCTCCAACCCTTTCAGTTAGTAGGGCACGCCCCTTATAGGTTTGGTTGCTGTTAATTGTCATCTAAAGAATTCTGACTCATGGTTGACCCCATGTGTGCAGAGTAGCCCTGCTCCACGGGAGTTTCAAGGTGCTGACCTTTTAGAAGCAAGCTGCCAGGAGTTACTGGGTCTACCCCGTGCTAAAAGTCCTCCTGAAGCCTGAACTCCTCTGTTTTCTCTTCCTTGTAAAAACGCCACTCAATCCTGCTTGGCTGTTGGGCGTCCTGCCCTCCTTATCCTCCCAGGATGAGGCCCAGCTATTCCTGCAGGGTGCACCCTGGTCATCGCAGGGACAGACGGAAGGTAACAAACTGGTGGGAGCAGGGGCCCCAGCATGCTCAACACAGGCTCTGCCTCACGCACCCTCCTCTAAGGGCCCCTGTTCCCAGCTTTCAACCCAAAAGATGCAGCACCCCAGACATGGCCACTCTGCGACCACGATGCCTGTTTGGGGGGAGATTAGATCTTCTGTGGGCAGGACCTGCGGCCAGTTTACAGGCATTTTTAAAGATGTCTGGTCATACACATGAATACACACACACACACCCATGGACCCTTTCCTTACATACATGTCTACACCATCAGCCCTCTGGCTTCACGCTTCTTCCTCACAGACTTCATGCTCAAGCAAATGCTACCTTTTTTTTTTTTATCTCCTCTGGGTTAGCATATTGCGCACTTCAGATTCAGATCTCAAATAGAATCTCCAGTCTAATGAATGGCTACTTGGCATTCCTGAGCCTCAACATTTTCATCTGCCTCTAAGAATAGTGGGAGGATTTCCAGGATGACATCAGAGACCTTTCCAAGTCTCTTCTGGGGACCAGGGAAGGAGTAGGTCTTGCCCTTGTCAGGAGAAGAAAAGAGCTTTGCTATACAGTACAGCAAGGAAGGAAGTGGGAAGGGAGCCTGGCAGGTTCAGCCTGGAGCGGGGACCCGGAGGCGGGGCTGGGGGCAGACTTTGCTCTGACCCATCAAGAAGGGCTGAAAGGTGCCTGAGCTGAAGCAACGCTGGGCCGCTGGTCAAAGAGGAAGTTCGAACTAGTCTTCACTCCTGGTCTCCTTGTCATTTCTTTATAAAACACACATCTAACCATGATGCCCTGAGGCTTAAAACAGAGCCCCTGGGATCTGGCTCCTTCCTGCCTCGGCAGCCTCGTCCTCTCTTTCCATTTCACCCTCACACCTGACACTGTCGTTTCTTTGACTGTCTGCAATTCCATGCTACTCCAAGGTCCTACTCAGGTCGTCCTCTCTCCCTTTGCTCACAGATTCCTTTTTTCCCCTCAAAACCTCAGGTAATACCTCTTCCGTGAAGCCTTCCTACGTGGAGGTAGACACTTTGTCTCAGACCCTATTTCCATCTCTGCACTTCCTCTGCCCACCTCTGCTCTGGGCTCTATTCTTATCGACAACACCCTGCACCCCAAGACTATGGGTTCTCTAAGGACAGACACCTACCTGGTCTAGTGTTTTGTGCAAAACCTGGTGCCTAGGGAGTAGTAGATCCCTGTTCGTGGAGTGAATGCTGTTGTTGTTAAATGCCACTGAGTCAGAACTGACCCATAGCTGGCCCTTTAGCGGGTCTTTAGAGATATCCCATCCTTCTTCCATGAAGCAGCTGGTGGATTTGAACCATATGCCTTTGGGATTACAGTGCAGCTTCTTACCACTAGGCCACCAGAGCTGCCAGTGAATAGTGAGGAAATAGTTTTATTTTGTACATCTTTTTCCTGTGGCACTAAGTGAAGGCTGGAGCTGGGATAGTCCTTAAAGGGTCAGGGAACCTTCGTGGGGTTGGGAGGGGAGGGGAAGTACCACTGCCCCATGCTGGAGGTAGAAAAGAGTGCAGCCTGAGCCTTCAGTTCTGTGGTCCTGAAACAGCAGGAAGTAGGGCATCTGTCCTTTATCGGACCCACGTGGCCAGGTCTTTTCCAGAACTGTGGGACCTTCATGAAGGTAAGAGCCATGATATTGTGCCCTGGAGCCTGCCTCCCACAATTGGTCCCTGCCACCCTGCTCCGACAAGCAGAAGCGCCTGAGGAAGAAATCAGTGTTGGAGGCCTAGGTCTGGCTAGCACTGAGACTCTGGGTCACTCTGGGCCACTGTGCACTAGGTCTCCAGGGTGACAGATGTGAAGGAGCCTGAAACAGCAAGGCAACATCAGCTGCTCTCTGACTGTACAGAGCCAGGAAGGAAATATCTTGCGGTAAAGCTTCAGCTCTCCTTCCTACAGAAGGAATTTGTTTGCAGCTATTAGCATAAATGGTGATGTATACCCCAAGGTTAGGACTAGGGAAATAAAATTTGAAGTGGCTGCAAATTAGCACTGGGATCTTCAACCACAGGGGTGCCTCAGGCTCTGCTCAGGCCTCCCCTCCTCCCCCACTCTTCCCTGAGTGACCCTCCTGTCACTGCTGGCCTCCACTGTCTGTCTCCAGGCCCAGACCTCTCTTGTTTGCTACCTACCAGTCCTCTCAGACTGTAGACACGTATCATGTGCAAAGCTGAATTCATTGCCTTACCCAAAACCCACTCGCTTCCTAACGCTCCCCTCCTACCCGCCTGTGGGCCTGCCTTCCTGCCTGTGACCCCTCGTGTTCCTGACCCTTTCAGGTCACCTGCCTCAGGTTCTGGGCTGTACTTGTACATGTCTCAAGTCCTACCTGGCCATGCTCATCCCTCACTATCCTCAAGGACATCAGAGCTCCAAGGGGACCGGACATGGGCTCAGCCAGCCTCCTGCCTTCCAGATGAGGGTCCCTGAGGCCTGAGAGAATGGTAGAAACTGCCTGGGGTGACAGGACAGGGGGCAGAGTCAGGTGGGGAATCCAGTTCTCCTAATTTCCAAGGGTTGCTCTCTCCCTCAAGCCACAGCCTCAAGCTCCAGCACCTTCCTCTCCTGTTCGGGCCCCTGGGGCTGTCCTATGGGACCTCAGCTCTAGGTTGAAAGCTCCTCCCCGATCCTCTTGGTGGCTCCATATCCTCAGATGGACCAGAACGTCAGCCTGGGATCAGAGCCTGCTTGCCACTCCCCCAGCCCTGGGAAGGCTTTCCCTGCCCCACCCTGCTCGCCTCTCTGTCTCCTACTCTACTCCCTCCCACCCTGTCAGGGCCTGTCCTGGCCTCCACTCTTGGGTCCTACCTAGGGGTGTCCTGTTATCTGTTGTGCACAGTGTTGGGCATCAAAGCAGGGGACAGAGGGAAGGCAGAGGGTCCTATGTGCCCTTTCCCCATGGCCTCTGGTCCACAGCTGGGCATCCTTCAGTACTGTCCTGCCCCTGTCCTCTTGACCCTCTCCAGCTCATCTGGGGTTGGGATCAAGGTCATAGGCTGCCACATTTGCAATCCAGCCATCAGGTGCTGCAGGTCAGTACTGATTCCAGAATCTTCCAAGTGTGGCAGCACATAGACATCCCTGGCCTGAGGAAGCCATTGATTGTGCCCCTCCACCCAGGGCCCTGTGCTCACACAGCAGGGCGGGAGCCTTGACTGGCCCAGGAGACAAGACGTTACAAAGAGCCTGCCCCTTCCTGCACCACATGGGCCAGCGCAGCCGGGTGGGAAGGACACAACGGATCAGAAGGGAGGTGCCAGCCAGTGTGCCATCCTGAAACAAAACACAGTCACTCCGGGGTTAGTTGGCAATTCAAACAGAGCACTGGGAAGCAAGCAGAGGTCCTGTCCTCCCACTGTGAGCACAGTCCCGGCTCCGCATCTGCCCCGGAGAGGCTGCAAGGCAAAATGAGCAGCGGCATTAATCTGCTGATGGGTGGGAGAGACATGAGCGTTACCCCGGGCTGGCCCCCTCGCTGCTCGCCCTCACTAAGGAGCTAGAAGGTGGCCCCTGACTTCTTTGCAAGGGTGTGAAGCAGACAAATTAAAACAAAAAATCAACATAATGGGAAAAATAAAAAGATGCCCATGCACCGTTAAGACTCATTCAGGTAGAAATAGCCGGGACAAAGGGCAGAGAGGGAGGGACACCAAGGTTGAGCAAGACCGTGTTTAGGACACACTTGGTCCCTGCTCGCACACCTCCGGCTTGGGCTCAGTGAGCAGGTCGTAAGTTATGCAATCAAAGAGACTTTGGCTACAAGTCTCTTCTCCCTAACCCAAACTGGGGACATGACAAGCAGCGCCTTGGGAGCCTCATGCTCCTCATGGGGGGACAGTCTCGTCGATGTGCCTTTCTGGTATTAAGTGTGCCATCGACAGCAGTGACGATGGGGCCCCAGTGGGGACAGTGCGCAGTGATCCCTTAAAACGGAGTCTTAAGTCCTTCTAATCTCCGAGAGGGCTTGTGAGCCACTGAGGATGTTGGATCCTAGGGGCAGGGCAGGGGTGTAGTCTACTGCTGGCAGAGGCCCCTGGTGACCGGAAGAGCTGTGTGGGGAGGGCTGGGGGCAGTGGCTGCTCTGAGGCTGTGTGTGAGAGGACACTTAGGGAGAGATGGCTACTGGCTCTGTGACAGGGAGTCACGCTTCAGGAACCTGTAAGAGAGGGGAGGAGAAAAGCGACACAAAAGCGTCCTACAAAGGAACAGACCCGACCACAGCTGGAAGGAAGGCAAACCTTTGAATCAGGTCCTTGAAATACAAGCTGCAGGAAGCTAGAACATTTTGGTGGACTTCAAACTCTCTGCCTTCAACAACAATTTTCAGGTCTGTAAACGCTTTCGCTCTGCGCTGCTGGTTCAATTCCTTCAACATTTCTGCAGAACAGAGAAGACAGACAGGGCCAGGTTCCCATTAAGAGTTTTTTTTTCTCTTTCCCCTTTTTTATTTATTAAAAAAATTCTTTTCAAGAAGTAGAGAAATAGGAAATACTTGATATTATTTCTTGGCAAGACTGGCTCAACAATGACAATCAAAAGAAGTCACAAACAATGCATAAACAAGCGGGGACTGGGAAGCTATGTAACCAAAGAATAACCACTTAAAAAGAAAAAAAAAAGCCCAAAGACGATTATTTAAAAAAAAAAAATCAAACCCAGAAATTGAAAGGTTTGGGGAGGGGGAAGATTCTCATACTGACAATTGGAAACATAGAGAATACATTATCACAGACAATTAAAACCCGTTATATAAACTACGCAACAAGTTCTCCAAATGCCAATGAGTGCTGATGTAATTGATACCAAGTAAAGCATGGCATTGCGATGTAGGATGGGCTGGATATGGGTCAAAGGAATAAAAACCACAAAACCTGCAAAAACAGCATCCCTTAGGTTAGACACAGCCGTGGTGGTGGTGGGGTGAGCTCCTGGCGAACCTTTCCTCCCCTTCCACACTTCTAAGGGGTGGCAAGCAGGAGACAGAGGGCCCTAGGAACCTCCCATGTCTGGGTCATGCTCTCCAGGAACCCCACAATCCATGGGGGAGTCAGCAGGAGCCTGGCTTGCAGCCCCAGCAGGTCCCCAGAAGCAGCCTCAGGGTCCTTCCCACTGTGGCATGAACCTACCTTTGCCTGGTGCCTTGGTCTCTGACAGTGCCCAGGATCAGGGGGAACCTGGACACCTTCTCTCAGACCCACCCCAGGGCTCAGAAGGGGGAGAGAGGAAAGAGTCTCCCGGGTTTCATTTGTTTTCTATGCTTTCTTAGTTTGCATCTAGTTTTTCAGGCAAAAGGTGTTTCAGACCCCGCAACCTTGCCTGGCCCAGCCAACCTGCTGGCCCCCAGGGCTCTGCAGGTAGGTCTGAAGCTGTTGGACAGTCTGTCTTTAGCATGTCCAGGAGCCAGACTTCAGAGGCTCTGATTCTAGGGCCAAACGACTTAGTCTATCATCCGGCCAGGCTCTGTCATTTGGCAGATCTATAGGGTTCAAGTTGTGACTGAGTTCCACCTTCCAAGTCCTCTCCCTCACCCCAGACTCTCTAGGTTTGCGCTGACCCCTCGGTGCTGTTCTACAGTCTCCCCTCCAGCACATTCTGCTCCAGCCTGACCAGTCATCTCTGCCCACAACTGCCTGTGGGCCACCATTTCCTGTGGTAACAGGAACAGGGCGGAGAGGAGGGGAGCTCTGTGGGCCGTGCAAGCTGTGGCCTGAAGGCAGGTGGGGTGTAGAGAGATGAAAACGATGCCCAGGTTTCTGGGGAGGGTGTGGGACACCCAGGAGGGGAGTGGATGATGAGTTCAATCTGAGGTGGGCCTGTGGGGTTTCTAGGGGTGATGTGTAGGAGACAGTGGACAGAGAGGCCAGCATAGGAGGGAAGGCAGAGGCTGGCTGCACCCAGATGGCTCGACCACTGACAAGATGATTTTAGAAGTTGGCTGCATTCACACACCTCAACTTCAAAAAGAGCCACTGACTGAATGACCAAAACCATGCCAGTTTTTGAGTGTTATGGGATATGAGTGTAGGGGAAGAAGACTTCTGGACTGGGAGCCTGAAGATCTTAGATGTGTAAAGTGTTCTAGCATTTTTGGCCTCAATTTCCCCAGTCACAAAGGGTCAGGGACACCTACCTGCTCTGTGGTCCTCTGCCCATCATGCTTCCATGTGTGACAGATGTGGCTTCATGTGCCTGCTGAGGTGACCAGTGCTCAGAGTAGTGGTGTCATTAGGGGGATGCCAATCACAACCCTGACGTTGTCTGAGGGAGTGACCTCAAACCGACCCTAGGGTCCCTGGTGGGGGCAGAGTGGCCAGTGCTGTGGGGGAGGGGATGCCCAGGTAGTGGTGTCCCTAGAGGCCCACTGAGGCAGAAGAGGGTCTCAGATTTGAAGAGGGGAGAAGATGGGAGTCAGGGCTGCGCATCCCAGGCTGCATGGAGACAGGGCAGAGCCACCTATCCATGGGGTTAGAGTGAGGGGTGAGGTGCTGGGGATTCACTGGCTGGCTGCCCCCAGGACGTGACACTGTGGCACTAACTCTAGTGATGCCACAGCCTCAGGGGCCCGGGAAGTACAACTACACAAATTGCCCGATTCTGCATGGATCCCAAACACTCTGGATCCTTTGCATGATGCGTGCTTCAGAACCAGATCTCAGACATGATGTCAGGAGCTGAGTCTGCCTCGTCCTTGCTGGTTGCAGGAATCCTGGTTGCAGACAGGAAGGATCCAGGCATCCCCCTGGTGAAGGCAGGAGCTCTAGGACTCTCACTTTCTGGTAATCAGAATTTGATAGTTGGAAACAATTCCTCTCTTTGAGAAGAAATTCTCAACTTAGGAAAATGCTTGCCAGAGGCTTTCCAAGTTTCACAGGAGGGCCCAAGTACATTCAAAGCATCAATCAGTTGTTTTGGGTTTACTGTGGCTGGCTGTGTGCCCAGCCTGGGCCAGGGAATTTTAGATTATGTATTAGAAGGAGGTGCAAAATGTTAATACGTGAGTCTGCTACCCTAAAGCTCAGAGGCTTGAGTCCAGCTAGAAGCACCACATAAGAAAAGCCTGGAAGATCTCCTTCCCACAGTTCAGCCACTGGGAAGCTGCTGGAGCACAGTTCTACCCTCGCATGATGAAGTCATCATGAGCTGGAATCAGGAGTGGTTTCTGGTTATCAGAGAGGAGCACAGGAGGGATATTGGGGGACTACATTCCCAGAATAGAGCCCAGCTGGCTTCCTCCTCACCACAGGTCCTGGCAAAGGATGGTCCCTTTCATCTCTGAGAAGGACTGTGGGTCCTTGAGGAAACTTCCAGCTGGGGGGATTGGTTCCCTGGCTTGGGAGGTCTGCCTACCCCAGGGTGGTGGGCCAGCCAGGTGTCCCGTGTGGACTCCAGCAGCACCTAACACCGTGCAGGGGTTCTGCTCATGGTAGGTGCAGGATTTGTTCATCTTGGGTTTGGGAAAAGGGCCCTCCCCAGGTAGGAGCTCTGCGGGGTCTGGTGGGTGAAAGGTTGAGCGGCCTGGGGGGGCCCTTCTCACCTGGTGGGACAAAGCCTTTGCTGCAGGATCCTCCCTATTGACAGAGCCTCAGGAATTATCTCCTGCTCTGTGCGGCTCTGGCTGCATGCCCACCTGTGCCTGGGGGACCCCACGCCCTCACCTCACCCACAGAAGTGACTACCCAGGACAGTCTGCCTGGCCTCACAGTGAGAAAAGTGAGAAATTCCTCTTATTCAGGACCACCTGTCAGAAAATTCACCCCCAAGGATTCCACTCCCTGCAGATCCCCAACCACTCTCCCTAGGCCTCTTGCTGACTCTCATGTTTGTTCCATGTCCTGTCTGCTTTACCTTCTGCAAACCTCACACTTATTTTCTAATTGAGCCACCATTCTTCCACTCGGGTCACTGCAGCAACCTCCGAGGACGCCCCCGCTTCCAGTCTGTTCCCTCCAGGCCATCCTCATGCCGCTGCTCACACAGCCTGGTCATCACCCTGCTTAAACACAGCTCTTCAAAGCTGAGCAGGGCGAGCAAGGCCTCTTGTGATACATCCTCCTCCCGTGTCAGTTCCTTCTCTGCTGATGGGTCCTTTACTCTCCAATGCAGCCTCCCTGAACCCCAGGTAGGCACTCCCCACCCCATTAAGCCTCCATTCACTGTCCCATCTGCCTGGAACCTTCTTCCTTCTTCATCGGGCTAAATATTCTTTATCCTTCAATACCAGGTAAGATGCTTACTTAGACCAGTGAGTCTCGTTTTCTTCTTCTTCGCATATCCTGCCCCTCTTCCCTCTACCATCCTCCGTCTCCTCCTGGGCATACTCTTTAAACAGCACAGTTGCTATTGTTTGCTGTTGAGTTGGAACCAACTCACCGTTGATCTTCCAGCTGATCTTTTCAGAGGCAGTAAATCACGCTGGAGGATGGGCAATGTCCTGCGGGTCATAACTATTTACTTACACGTCTGCCTTTTGCACTAGACAACATTTTGTTGATATTTTCAACTCTCAGCTCATAACTCATCTCATCATCTCACTGCCTTCAAGTTAGAATTGACTCTGAGCTGAACCTATATTGGATTTCTGGAGACTGTAAATCACATGTGCAGAGAATGCCCGTCTCTATCCTGGGGAGCGGCAAACTCCAGGGATGCACTGTCTTTGGTTTAGCAGCTACACTCCCTATAGATTGGTCCCCAGAGCTCCTAGCACCTCTGTTGTTATTGTCGTTGTGTACTGTCAAGTCAGAACCAATCCACAGGTGACCCTCCAACGGGTCTTCAGAGGTATTAAAATGCACGGCAGGAGACTGCCCATCCTTATCCTGCGGAGCAGCTGGTAGATCCGAACCACCTGCCTCTGGGGGTGCAGTGCACAGCACACGTACAGGGAGACACACGGCAGGTGTGGTCTGTTGTAATTCCTCGCACCCAGGGGTAGAATCCAGTTCATCACCCCCTGAGTCCTGGCTGGCCTATGACTTGCTCTGGATCATTGACTGTGGTGGGAAGGACCTTTGTGAGCTGTGAGCCTCAATCGTGGGAAGCTCTGCTCACTTCTGTTCATCCCCTGAGACCTCTGTTGCTGCCACCTTATGAGCAAGCCTGGGCTACTCTGCTGGAGAACGAACGGGCACGCGGAACAGACACAAGCTGATAAGCCATCCCAGCTGAATCACTTGGACCAGCCAACCCCAGACAACATCAGCCAAGCCTGAGCCAGATCAGCTCAGCTTAGCTCAGCCTGTCAGTCGCAGAATCACAACCTAGTGGCTTCTGTTTTAAGCCGCCACGTTTTAGAGTGACTGGTTATGCGGCAAGAGCCAACGAATATTGAAAAAAAGCATGAATAAATAATGGATTCCACTTCATAGAGAACTTTC